TGAAATATCTAACTTTGTGGCAGATGCTGCTCTATGTGATCTTTTGTAACTGAAGGGTTCTTTTATCATTTGAGCTTTTGGGTTTGCATCTCTCATCTGCTCTTTTCTGCCAGCTTAACAGGGATTTTAAATCAAAACCTAATTAGACTACATATGCTGTTTAGGAAAAAGTTCTTAGGAAAGTAATGATTCATATAGGCTTTGATATTTCCAGATAACATCTAAGAAGAAATGTGATTTTAATTGTTTTAAATAACTTCCAATCACCCTCTTACTCAAATAAAAGTAGTTGAGCACAGTTATTTGATCAAAAAAAATTCTTCAGTAACAGAAATTCCAACTCTATATTCCTATCAACGATACCATCTGTGCTTAATGATGAAAGCCTTTATTGACACACATTTTTCAGCTAAGTAATATTACAACTCAGGTATTCTGTGTCATATTTTTGATACCAATACCATAATCCTCAAATCAGAAGTTATCAAATGATAATTAATTCCTGAAAAACAAAAATCTGTGTGTACATGTAGAGCACCTAGGATGTCAGCCGAAGTTTGCTTTTTAGCAATGTTGATACAAGAAGATTTGGTATCTTTTTTATTTTTCCTCTATGATTTTCTATGAGGGACAATGAATTCTTTTAATGTTATTTTAATTATAATTCACTTACTTGAATTATATAGTTCAATATTTTAACTAGTGCTAAGAAAGCCCACATTTCAAACACTCTCAACTTGCACTAGTTTACGGAAACCTGTGTCAAAAATGATGACTGGTATCTTGTTCAAACATTAATAAATACATTTGCTAGGAAAGCCCTGGCCTCTGATACTTAATCACAAAGATGTAAGCTCCATCTTCAAAAAAAAAAAAAAAAGGAAAAATATTAAAATTTTTTACATTTTTATGTCCCACTTAGTTATTTGACCCAATTATTAATCAGAAGTAGCCAGAATTTTCTTCTATTCCATAGAGCAATTGCCTGCTGCCTTAAGAATAAAAACTTGAGTATTTCCCCTGATAGAAGGCTGACAAGTCATAATGAGAAACTGTGTCTTCCAACGTCAAGCCAATATAGTTTCTGTTAATTGTCTGAATACTGTGCTGTGACATACTGCATATAAAAATTATTTTCTGGAAACCAAGAAATTATACATATTTCCAAGACAAATCCCTGCAAAAATAACCACAAATTTATAATAGGCAATAACAAGATTTCATAAGCATCTTTTAAAAATCTGAATTAAATTTCAAACAGAAAAACAGAAGTGTAAATCCAGACTTCCAGTTACTCTGTTACTTTAGTGATTCAGTAAAGCTACAGCAATTTGCTTCAACAGCTAGTTGAATATGTAATAAATTCAAATATTTCTCTTACTGTTGAGCCATTACTAATATGTGACTATCATGGAAGCAATATATAGAGACATGAGACTTTAAGAAGAGTTTATAAGAAATAAGTTGGAGACATTTATAGTGAGACAACACTGATATCCCAGGCTTCTAAACAACACATAAAGTCTACTTACATGCAAACAATATAAAAGGCATATGCATATTCATTGATACCACCAAAAATAGTTGTTTTCTAAATGTTAAATATTGTCAGCATTGTCTACAAAATTTTCGAAAACCCCAATGCAACTCAATAGAAGTTTGATGGTAAGACCTTAATTACAGGACAGTACAGTTTAAAAAAAAAAAACAAACAAAAAAGCATGAGTATACTTATATATTAAAATTGAAACTCACCACATAGAATAGCTAAATGTGATCTGTAAGTCAAACAACTCCTCCTGTCTACAAACTTCTGCAATATAAAGCAATTAATTTAAAATATTCTTCAGAGACAGGAGACATGTAGTAGAAGACAGAATGTTTCCAAAGTATAGTTCATCTTCTTCTGGTTTCAGATAAAAGAATGAAAACAATAAAGTCTGAAGTTTATGCCCATGCATCAGAGGCATTTCTGATATGTATTGTTATCACCAAGAGTACTTTCTGGAAAGGCATAACTTGGTGAGAAACCTATCCTACTCTTCACACTTTACTGTGCAAACTGACTGAGTTGAGGATGGTGTATGGTGTTGGGGTGAACTGGGGAAAGTGGAAGCAACACCCAATTGCAAGTTCATGCTTGACTGCTATTCAGAGTAAATTTTATTATTGTTTACCATCAGCTATAATTGGTCAACTGGATGAAAATATCTCTTTTTCTGTGAACAAAGCTGCCCTCCAAGAGTGCAAAAGACATCTTAATATAAATAGACTAGCTAACAAGCCTTTCACTGTATTGAGCCAAGGGTTACATACATGGTTATTGAGTAAAGGCAGTATTTTTAGAACTTTGTTTAAGAGAAAAAGCAGGTCACCATATAAGCCATGACACCCACCAAATAATGTGTAACCTAAACCACACAGCTATATGTCAACTTATTTTCTATTCTGATGCTTTACCTAGGAATTAGCTAAATATCCAACATGCAAAAAAATTAATATTTACTTACACACACACATGCACACACGCACACACACACACACACAAAAAAAAAAAAAAAAAAGGAAAAAGAAAACAAGTCCTGATTAAGTTTTATAATCGAAATATGTATAAAGCACAAGAAATCACAGCAGAAATATTGCAACAGCCACAAAGTATTCAAGTTTCAAGTTTCACCTCTCCACTCTCCAGGGCAACCCATGCACAAGCACACGAACACACACGTCAGACCACTGAACGTGCCATCCACTTGGCTCTTGCAACCACCCGCAAGAATCAAAAGGCTCCAGAGGGACCCAGAAACACCAAACCAGGGCACGGGGGCAGAGAGGCGCATCTCCTCTGCCTGACCTCGGGCTGTGCGTGCGATGTCTTGCAGAACCTTGGACAGCGGTCTCCTGGCCCTCTTCTCAGTGCACCACAGCCCAGCTCAGCCCAGCTCAGCCCAGCCCAGCCCAGCCCCGCGGCTCACCCCACTGCGCTTGCTACCCGCACTGGGTGGGCATCTGCACTGCCCACCAGAACACCTGGAGAAAGGGAAAACAGACTAAGTTGAAGTTGCTCCCATGGTTTGGGTTTTTTCCCTTTCCCCTTCTGAAATATCTTTCATTTTTAACACAGATTGGTTGGCCAAATTCTCAAAACATAAAGCAATATCATCTGGCACTCAGAACCACAGAAATGTAGGTCACTGGCATCTGTCTTGTTCATTAAAGTTTCACACAATCATTTTTTATGTCAACAACTTTTTCTCTATCATTATGAAAGTATTTCTCCTTTTTGGGTGTGCAGAGGGAAAATCATTAAACAGCATAAATTTGCTCTTCTGTTCATTTTCAACACCTTTTACACCTTGATATTCTGTAGACCAACTGAGAACTTTGTGGTAAAGTTCAGTCAAACTAAACTGTGATACCAAAAAATCACCTTAAGCATGTAAATACTGATCGTTTGGCATCATGGAATAGTAGGTCAATTTCTAATTATAGAGCTACTGAAATGACAGAGATTTCCTCACAGCAATAGATATCTATTTACATTTATATTTTTTACTTTTTTACTTTTCCAATTCACTCTGGAAATAAATATGTTTACATTATCAGTAACTGAGTACATAGCATATATGCAATGAGGGTGTACACACACAGCATGCAATCTAAAAATAGTTGAGTCAACATTTCTGGTGATTCTACCTTACTTTTGTCAGATTTAGAAAGAAAAAATAAATATGACAACTTTCCTACCGTTATTTCAGGTTAAGGGACTCTGGATCCATTTTTGTGGCAAATATATGCACAAATGATACTAAGCTATTGGTGAATGGGATTGTTTAGGCAGAGGCTGCTACCATTAAATGATTTCAGAAGGCCCTGCTAAAGTTACAGAGTGCAGAGGTACTGCCAGGCCTCCTATTTAGAGCAGCGATTCGTGTGCATGGTTGTGTTCCACTGCTAAAGCAGAATTTGGTTCAGACTGGTTAGTGCTACAGTAGTTGAGATAACCTAGTTCAGGGCAGAAATATTCACCTCCTACCAAGTACTCAAGAAGGGGGAGAAAGCATGCAGTTAGCTATTTTAGGCACCGAGGACAACTCTGTCTTCTGTCCTGTCTTGAGAGATAGGCCAACTAATCTTGTGTGAAAGTACAGAGAAAGCAACATCTACAAAAGCCAAAGTGGGACCCTCTGCCTTCTAACAAAGGCAAAGAAAAGCCTCTGGATCTCTCTGAGCCGTCACCAGCGGCACCAAAGGAAACAGCCGGGGCTTGTCAAAACGCTGTCACCATCACTTCCCAAGGAAGGGCCACTGCGGTGCCCATCAACAGACACTCTTGTCCTCCAGCTTTCCCCAGCTCCACAGATTTTGGCAGAGCGCCTGCAAATACTGTCCCGCTCCCGCTCCCGAGGAGTGGTACCGCACCGCACCGCTCCGCCGCCGTCCAGCACCGCCACCCCCGGGCCGAGCGCCCGACCGAACCTACCCGGAGCCTGCGGTGCGCGCCCCCGGCCCCGCGGGGGGACGGACCGCCCGTGCCCGGTCACCGCGGCCACCCGCACCCCGAGGGCCGGCGGCCAGGGCAGCGCCGTCGGGCAGCCCCTACCCCGGTCGCCGCTCCGAGCCCCGCTCATTGTCATGCAGACCCTGTCGCTGCCTGCCGCCAAGTCGCATCCCAGCCCGCTGGAAGCCGGCAGCCCAGTCGGAGCCAATCGCATATTCATGAGGAGGGGGAAATCCAGCGCTACGCTCCCAGAGGACCCAGGATCGCTTCTTTTTGCGTTTTCTCAAGCTTCCCCCTCTCTCTTACTCTCTTTTAATAATGCGCTAAGGGGGGCATCCCGGCCGATACCCTCCGCAGCATCGCCTGCACCGTGAGAACCGCGGCCGCCGGCGCCAGGGGCAGAGACCGAAGCAGGCACAACAGGGTCCACGGCAGCCACAACAGCCGAGGGAGGCACGCCAGCCCGACAGTCGGGGACAGGAAACACAGCAGGGGCTCCTACCTTACAATCCTCAGGACACGATTTCACCGAGTACTCATCCGACTGTAAATATTTCTGAAGCATAACCTCAAACTCTTCGTATTTCTCCTGAGCGTGCTGGTCGTAGCGCTGGTAAGCCTGGACGCACTGGCTGCAGGAGCCTTCCCCCTTCAGCACCACATCCAGACTGCAGTTCAAAGTGTCCGGATTGGACAACCCGGCGAACAACTCCCAAAGTGTATAGGAATTACAAAAGGAAAGGTAAAAATCCGTCAGGTCCCAGCCGGGCGCCGGGCTCTGCCCCGTGCCCCGCGGTCGCCCCGACCCCCCTCGCCGCTGGCACACCGCCTCCGCGTCGCCCACGCTGAAGCACTGCCCGGACGAGGAGCCCGGGGGGGGGCACGTCTCCAGGGGCCTGGCGGTGGAGTTCCCCAGGAAAGCAGCCTTGCCGTGCCGGGGCTCGGTGCCGTTGGTGCGGCTGCCGCGGCTGCCGCCGCCGCTGCTGCCGGGGGAGGGCGGGAGGGAGGGCGAGGGGGGGGCCAGGAGCCGGGGCGCGGGGGGCGCCGGCTCCCCCATGCCCGCCAGCAGCTCCGGCTCCGTGGGCTCCGGCTTCTCGGGTGGCGGCTGCTCCTTCTCTCCGGTCCCCGTGAATTTGGCCTCGGCGCAGAACCACAAGTGATCAGAGAGCAGGACCGTGAAAAACAAGAGCGATGCCAGGGACAGTCGCCATTTCTGAGCCCTCTCTGAATCCGTGAAGGGTTTCTCGTTCTCCCGGGGTGCGAACCAGATTTTTAAGCCGTCATCATACTGCCGACTACACATCCAAGCACCCCTGGTCATATTTTGGGAACGCACAGCCCTGGCCGACTCCACCGTGAGGGCTCCTTTGCCAGTGTCACCACAATATGCATTGACTTAAAAGATTGGGGGGATTTTCTTGCCTGCCTTCCCTTCTCTCGCTCGCTTGCTCTCCCTCTCTCTCTCTTCCACTCTCCCCCTTTCGTCCTCTTTTTTTTTTTTTTTTTCTTTCTCTTTTTCTTTCTTTCTTCTCTCTTCCTTTTCTTCCTCCGAGATATTGTTGGTTTTCGCCGGTGACTCTGCCTTGGTCTCACCACACGAAACAGCCCCAGTCCATCCAACGCGGAGTGCCGTGGAGAAGATAAGAGCAATAACGCAGAGAGAGGAGGAGGAGGGAGAGGAGATGGTGGTGGTGGTGGAGGTGGTGGTGGAGGTGGTGGTGGAGGTGGTGGTGGTAGTGGTGGTGATAGTTGGTGGTGGCGGGGCTGCGCGACTGGTCCTTTCCCCCTCTCACCCAGGCATGGTCAGATCGCAGCTCCCCATCTCCCTCCTGAGAAAAGCCCACTGCGCCCGGACAACCGCATGCCGCGTCCCCCGCTGCCGACGGACGGCTACGGGAGAGCTGCTCGCCTCCTCTTCCTCCCTGCCGCCGCTGCTCCTCTTCCTCAGCCCCGAGCCGCGGCACAGATGCCTGCACCGCTGTCTCAGTCTATTTCTTCTCTCCCCGCTCCGCTCTAACTGGAGAGACGCTGCTGCAGGGCTCCCGGAGCGCTGCCGAGGATGCTGAAGAGGAGGAGGAGGAAGAGGAAGAGGAGGAGGAGGCTGCCGGGGCCGCCGCCGCTGCTGGTGACAATGGGCTGCGGCTGCCGCCGCTGCTGCCGCCGGGCGCGGTGTCCCCGGGCGCACGGGGCGGAACTGCCTGGCTGGGGGCCCCCGATGGGCACAGGCATCTTGGGCCCCTGGGCTAAGTTGCCGCCATCTTCGTCCTGGAGAAACACTTTTTTGGGGGGAGCTCTGCCTTTTGCGTCATCTCCTCCCGCGCCGAGATCGCTCTATCCTGGCGCATTGGCAGCAGCAGCAACTCTGCCTCCTCCTGCCTGAGGAGGAGGAGGTGGGAGATGCACTGGGGACCACATGGACCCTCCAAAGGGTTTCCTCGATGTAACTCTTTCTACTCATCTCACCGAAGGGACTGCTCAGTACTACTGTCCAGCCCTCTCTCCTTCAGGGTCTCCTTCCCTTTGTGGCCGTGGAACATCATGTCCTCGCAGGATGGTGGCTGGAGAGGTCTGTCTCCGTGTCTGTCCTTGTCACAGCAAATCACAAATGGCATATGACACTATGGGCTCTGCATCCTGACCAGTTTTGGCCACACAGTAAAATGTATGAACATAGTTGCCTGTCTCTCAATCAGAGCTGTAAAGCAAAACAACCATAAACCCCAAGCTGTTTCCTCAAGAGAAGTTTTGCAAAACCCTGGTTCAGCCCATGAGCTGTGTGTTCCCCTGTTTAGATATCACTTCTTAGAGAGAAAGACAGAGGGGCCAGGCTAAGTCCTCCTTCTAGGATGATGAAATCACCTGGGGTGATGATTTCCACTTGGGCCCAGGCCAGAGATCCAAACACCTTCTGTCCCCCAACCATGGAGGTCTCTTGCTCAAACAAACATGCTCTTTGGACATTCCTATGTGTCTCTAATTCCTTTCTTCTGGTTTACTTATGCACCTTAATGTAATAGCAAAACAACTTGGATCCCACACATAAGAGAAGAGAAGGTGCCAGTTAGAGGTTGAATACTAACAGATGAAGACATGGTGTTCACCTCAACACATCAGGTATGCTATCTGGCCATAGGATAACCAAGATGTGCATTTTAATTTCTCCATTGGACTGGCAGAAGGTTTAGAAACATATTTTTCCTTGTTCCAGAGGCTTTCTCTATCCTGAGGAACTGATAATTTCCCTTGGAAAAGGTGTGCAGTATACCACAAAAGTGGCTTTGCCCCAATTTTTTGATTAAAGATAGATGTTTTTCTTAACAAACATGGTCTGTAAGCTAATACAGATTGCTGATGGTTCTTGAATTCAGCTTCAGAAACTGTAGTGGGAAAACACCTGAGACTAAACTATATCAGAGGAGAACAAGACTTGTACCCTATTTGACTGCAGCTGTCATTAACAGAAGGGTGATCTTACCAAGGAATGTGCTGGAATTTCTGTCACTTTGAGCAGTAAATCAAGGCTGGATGTTTTTCAAAAGGAGATCCTAAACTTCAAACAGAAGATGCAGACCTGAGGTATGAATTCCTGAGAGAGGTTCTATGCCCTGTGTTGTGCTGGAGGTCAAAGAACATTATCATAATGGTCTCATCTGGCCTTACAGGATCTATGAGTCAAATACTATGGCAAGCAGAAATTATCTGTGGATTTCATTTTGATAGGGTATTTAAAGACACAGAAATAAATGTTAATATTGTAAGGAAAGGTCTACAGTACTTAAATAAGAATGTGCCTTTGCAATTTTCAGTCAATCATCTCACACTGTCTGCTAATGGTACATTATTAATTTTGCTCTTGGAGCTTTGATTGAAATTATTTGACATACTGGCTTTTGTACTGAATTTGACTTTTTGCAATGCTTTCTGTTTTGGGACAAGGTTGTGACCAAGCTTTTGAAAAGCACTCAGGACAACTTTAGTACTCTAAAATGCAACTTCATTTATTTAATTATCTTTTTGCTAGTTTGATTACATATTTCTTGTTAGAATAAAGAGACTGAAGCAGAAATACAGGGGGAAAAGGAAAAAAGAAAAAAAGAAAAAAAAAAGAAAAAAGAAAAAAGAAAAAAATAAAAAAAAAGAAAAAAGAAAAAATAAAACAAACAAAAAATAACTGGGATAAGCAACAGATTCCTGACATTGGGTATGAGATTTTTCAAAATGTGCTCTACTGAGATATGTTGCAGTGACTGTAAAATTATTCTGTGCTTGACAGACAAACATGAGGTGAAGAAAGTTTGCTTTAGAGTTCACACCTGGCAACGAGGCTTAATATATATTTTTTTTTTTTTTAATGTTGTTTCCCTTTTGTCCTGTTGAGAAAATGAGCGGATAATCAGCAATTTTGCAATCCACAATGAAATTATAAAAGTTCTCTATCTCCATAGTGGAACTTCAAGAATTGGTAATGAAAACATGCTTGTATTCAGATCTCCTTTGAAACTTAACATAAAAATTAATTCCTAAGTCTTTGCTCCTCTGTTTACACTTGTCTAAGATCAAAGCAAATATAGTTGAAGTCAGTACACTAGAATGGTTTAGATATACTTGGCTTCTCAAAAAAAATCCATTTTCATGTCATTTAATATTTTCACACATTTCCCAACTTTTGTCTGGAAAAATAGAGTAAGAGTTCTTTTTCAACACCTAGAAATAAACTATAAGAAGACATTTAGTATTTTCAAAATGAGCATGTCCTTACTTTTCCAGTGACAGTTTTCTGTAACAGAGAACATGTAATGCAGAAATGTTGTTTCGCCTCTTGCATTACATCCAAAACTCCATTCACTCTCCACCTAGCTCGATGAATAACTTGCAGCTTAGTTTCAGTAGCTGGTTCCTGATGGATCTGAAAAAATGCAGTTCAGTTCTCTGGTGCCCCTTAGTGTTAGGTCTTGGAGCTCAAGGGAAAAAATAAGGCTATAAAATAATATCTGAAAATCAAAAAGCTGTATGCAGTGAGGGAAAGAATCTGAATTATACACTGTAGCTGCTTTCTCTAGAAGTTCCTTAATTTTTTTTTACCATAATCAGATATAAATAACAGCATTTTATTTGAAATAGTTTAATGAATTATATGAATGGGAAGAAAAGTGAAAAACTTCCCTCAAAAATATTGATACAGAAGCATGTCCCCATATTCATCACTCTTCCTAAATAAGTCCAGTGGTGCAAAATACTTCACTTTGAAATTACATTTTTTACTGGGAATATTTATTACTCGTGTTTAATAGCTTGGCAGTTGTGAGGAACTCATGGAATCCTGTCTCACTAGCTGGTGGAATCACCAGATGTTTCACAGATGGATCTCCTTAAAGTAATGTGGTTCAGTGTCATCCCTGCCACACTGTGCTTTAATCAATACAATCAGAGCTGATGTTCTTTAATTCTGTAACTCATAATATGTAAGACAACTGATTTATTTAGCACTAAAGAAAAAGTCTAACAGGATAAGTATGCACAAATTCCAGATAGTTAGAGCTATTGCTTAACCTACATGCCATGAGTTTTCTTTGTGAAAATACTTCAGCTTAACAAGTAGAAATATTTATTGATGTAACATGTTAATGGTAATATACACTTTTCAGAGGTCTTTGCTGTTTCAAAGTAAATGTTCTTATATTTTTGCCTAAAATCAGGCAAACAGTAATTTCCTGCATAATCCTCTTGCTTTACTTGGTTGATTACAAAATTGTAACATCAAAAGAGCAGTGTATAGGTCTTTCAGATGACTTTCACAGGTTTGAGAGACATATCTTGTCTTTGTAATGTATATTCTTTATATAAGAAAAAACTTATTTCATAATTGCTAAGGAGCATTTCTCTTTGTAAATGACAGGTTATTTTTAATAGACTAGATTTCATTTTATTTTTGGAGCAACTCTTTTTAACAATTTAAAATATTGTTTAAATTATTTGTCTTCAATAGGAATATCTATACATTTATTGTAGGCAAAATATGTCATTTATGTGGTTTAAAATCCTCAGACTTGTTTAGGTTTTGGTTTATTTCAACATCTTACAATAAAATTTGGGTAGTATATTACCCATTACCTGGGAAGTGGACCAGAGATTTAATTATCTCAATCAATTTGGTAAGAATAATATCCATGACGGTTGTAAGATACAAAGAAGTTAAGAATACTGAAAAATAGTTTTTTCTCATCACATTCCTAGTGTCTTAGTTTCCTACTCAGTATTTTTCAGAAAGCTCAATTTTTGTGAGAAAGCTTCAATCATCTGGCCTGATTGCTCCAAAGCAATGGGAAAT